GTTATTGTTCATTTCTTAACGTGCCTACTAGGTATTTGTAAATTAAACATTACCATGGGTTTGTATGTCTAGGAAGACACAGAGAATATAGGGTTGTGGACTATCCTCTGTTTCAGGCATCAGCTGAGGCCACTGTGTCCTATGCACATTAGGAGGGACCCCTAGGAGACGGTCCCATGGCAGGTGCTTGCCTTCGGGTGCTCTCCTTCCAGCTGCCCTCCTGCAGACCATTTTCCACAGCACCAACAGGCTGATGTTCTTCCCCTCCACTAGCCCAGTGGTTGGCAAACTGTGGCTCGAGAGCCACATGCAGCTCGCGAGCCGCGGTTTGTCTCTCTGTTAACTAATGAGTTTGCCGACCGCTGCTAAGGCATTACCCTTACCCAGAAGTTTTGACTTCAGATTAAAGACATTAGTACCACGTTTCCCCGAAAATAAGACATCCTCCGAAAATAAGACCTACCTACCGGTTTCCTTCTGAGTGAAATATAAGGCATCCCCCAAAAAATAAGGCTCCCCCTAGGCTAAACATGAGAGATTTGGTCCACTGATTCTGAAAGAAATGGAGTCACAAGAAATTCACCAGGGAATTCAGGAATTGAATAACATAACAACAATGTTATGATGATGTTCCAGAAGATGATGACATGATTGTCATTGAATAAATGAGTAAATTCTTGATACTGTAGGATTCACAGTTTGTCTGATTTGTGTTGACAACTACCGTACTACCGTACCGTACACAAGTAATAAATTTCCTTTTTTTCAGTTAACAATAAATGCGTACCGTATTCTTCATGGAAAAATAAGACATCTCCTGAAAATAAGACCTAGCGCATCTTTGGGAGCAAAAATTAATATAAGACACTGTCTTATTTTTGGGAAAACAGGGTACATTATTAAAGATGTTTTTTAAGTGTTTTTTCCTAAGGCAATGGTCGGCAAACTCATTAATCAATAGAGAGGGAAATGGCATGTGGCTCTCAAGCTGCAGTTTGCGGACCACTGCACTGGCCTTTTACCCTTTCCAGAACTTTCCTGTTTCCACCTATATCAAGTGCAGGTACATTTGTCTTTCAAATCTTTCTGTAGTTTACCTTTAAAGTATGTTACCACCCCAACCCCCCAATATGAACCGTTGGAAGGTGCTCAGGTTAGTCCTCTTACTGTGAGCCGTGCACACTCCTTGTACTCACCATGCTAGTCCTGTAGCTCCCACTGCTCTGATGGCACACATCAACTTTGTTTCTCAGGTCTTCAAAGCTGCTCTCTAAACATTCTTGAATTATATTTGAATCTAACATAGTTTCTGGAAGAGTAAAAATATAAAATTACATAAATGTTAAAAGCAACAACAAAGAAATAAAAACAAAACAAAAAAAATAAAACAAAACAAAAACACTGAATATTACCCCTGAAAGAGACCAGATAAAATATGCTATTCAATCTTCTTATTTAAAAATGAGGAATCTGAATACCTGAGATGGGTTATTTAAGAATTTAATAGTTATATATTCAGATTTATTGATTATCTTCTATTCATGGCATATGGTATCCATTGCTATTTACATTGTTGATATAAGGTTTTATCTAGAATAGATTTGTTTTTGATTAGAAATATTAATTTAAAGAAATTATAACTAAATAATAGTACTGAAGATAAGAAAATATGGCAAAATGTGAAAATAATTATCAAGAGATAGAAGGATTGAAAATATTGTAATGCATTGATTAGAGTTTTTGTGCTTAATAAGTGATTGTTGACTGACTCATTGAAAGCTCACACCTGGGAGATAAATCAACCGAAGGACTTGTATACATGCATATAAGTACAACCAATGGACACAAAACTCTGGGGAGGGAGGTATGTATGGGGGGGACAATGTTAAAATATGTACACAGATAATAATTTAATTTAAAAAATGTAAAAAAAAAAAAAAGAAAGAAAGAAAAGAAAAGAAAAGAAAATGATAGCTTAATAGAAAAAAAAAAAAAAGAAAAAGAAAAAAAAGAAAGCTCACACCTGTCTCCCTATTTCCTAGCAGTCTTCACCCACTTCCTAAATGAGCAGACAAGTACTTCTCATGGCTATATTTTCAGCATAAGGTCAAAGGAAGAGAAGAACAACAGGTCAGCTGGCAAAACTGTTTCTGGCCTTGCGTGTTTCCTTTAACTGAGCTCACTGGAGGGGTGACTGCGCAGTCAGTGCCCTAGTCTGCAGACAGGAGTGTGACTTCCTCTAGCACCTTGCTCTTCCTAGGACTCTTTCCCACACAAAGTTTAACTGGGCCAGTGCAATACTACAAACAGCACGAGTAAAGACAGTGACCTGGAAATTCCCATATGCACAAGAATATTTGTCAAAGGGAGAGAAGACTACATTCCTCAGGCTGACTCATTGTTCACATGCCTTCTCTTATTTTGGAAACTTTAAGAGCTACCCTCAGCAGCCCAACCTCTGAGTGGCTTCCGCCAGCAATTTAGACCTTCCTGACCAGGCGCACTGAATTACAGGCCCCACAGTGAACTCTCTGCGGGGAAACAGAAATAGGCTGTGGCTGGAGTCTGCTTATAGAGGGGCCTAAAATGCCAAAATCTAAAGCACAAAGAGAACTCGGGATCCTGGGAGAAATGAAAAATGGATCCACTGTGCAATGTAATTCTGATACAAGCTACTGAGAGTTAAGGTCTGGTTTCACAGGTTAAGGACACAGTCCCTGCAAGACTGCACTTCTGACACCAGCTACAAGTTCGGTGGTCCCCAGGCTACCCGCACTTCTGACCAGCTGGCTACAAATTCAGCCTTTCCCACAGCCTCAGGCTAGAGAATTTGCTAGTGTTGATGTAAGAAGTCCAAACAATTTTTTAAAAAATATATATTTTATTGACATTTTACAGAGAGGAAAAGAGAGGGATAGAGAGTTAGAAACATCGATGAGAGAGAAACATTGATTCATCTGCCTCTTGCAAACCTCCCACTGGGGATGTGTCCACAACCAAGGCATATGCCCTTGATTGGAATGGAACCTGGGACCCTTCAGTCCGCAGGCTGACGCTCTATCCACTGAGCCAAACCAGTTAGGGCAGAAGTCTAAACCTTTTAATAACTTCTTAAAAATATGTTTTGATTGATCATAGAGAAATAGGAAGGAAGAGGGAGAGAAAAACATCCATCTCAGTGGGCTGCCTCCTACACATCCCCTTCTGGGAATCAAGCCCACAACCCTGACATGTGCTCTGATAGAGAATCTAACCTGTGACCTCTCTGAGCCACACCTGCCAGAGCCTGTAGAGAATTTTTATGAGTTTATTTGAGCCAAACTGAAGACACATGCTGGGAAGCAAGCTTCAAATAAATGCTCCAGAGAACAACAGTTTTGCAGCTTCTTTTATGCGTTTGAAATTAAGGGAGGAATTTAAGAAAGCCTCTGTGGAGGTGGGGAAAAGCAAGGAGGGGAGTTGGATTACAGATTACAGAATAGTTAATAAGATCATGTGCTTTTTGCAGCTGGTCATGGCTTATTTCAAAAGTGTGTGAACCTAGATGCACAGAAACAATGAACAGGCCTTGTGGAAGGCAAATATAAACTTGTTACTAAAAAGTCATATGCCTGGGGCCTGACTACCCACCATGACCTGCCCAGTTAAGAATTTGTGATCATGTCACCCTGTGAGGTCACTTTCCATAGAATCTCCCCCCACCTTTTTTTTTTTTTAATTCATACTAGAACAACTCATTGGATTTAAGAAAGTACTATAGTTAAAATCGCAATGTTACTATAAAATGTACAAATCTGAACCAGCCAAATAAAGAGGAACATGTGGCAAGCACGTCTGGGAGGGTCCCAGGCATCCCAAGCACAAAGCTTTTGTTCCCTCAGGACGATCCCCTTCCCAGCACATCAGTGTGCTTCCCCAACCAGGAGGCTTGCCCAAGCCCCCACGGCCAGAATCTTTATGGGGTTTCATTCTGTAGGCAAGATGGATTGAATCACAAGCAATGTGATTAAACTCACGTCCCAATGCTCCTTCTCTCCAGGCTGACTCCCAGGCTCGGAGCTCATGTTGGTCTTTCTGTTGAGGCCAGCACCCTTCCTGAAACTACTTAGGGGTTCCAAGTATCTCACCTCATTAGCATAATGTGGCCCCAGGGGAGCATCGTGAGAAAGAGCACTTCTATTCCTTGCAAAATTCTAAGGGTTTAGAAGTTCCCTCTCAGGAACTCAGGACAAAGACCAAACAAAAAATGCTATTAAACAAACAACACACAGGAAATAAAAGATGAGTTGGATCTATTTTAAGTCATGAAAAACTAACGCAAAAATATGATTTCTATGATGGAGAAACCATGGAAAAACATCACTTGAATGTAAAATTAGGGTGATAAACACCATTAGGTCTTTAAAATGTGTTTTTCACTCATGGGTTCATTTATACAGTGCTATTTATTGAATGTATACCTCCTATGCTAATCAATAAGGTATGCCATTACACTGCCCCTGTTTTTTAAAAAAAATAATTTTATTTGTATTACATTAAAAAGAGGAAGGATGGTGCTGAGGGGTGGGAGCAGCTAGGAAGGGGTTAGTGGAGGGAGGGGGATGAGCCATATGTAATACTTAAACAATAATGAATTTAATGAATTTAAATTAAAAACATAAAGAAAAGATGGAGAATGAACTACAATCAAAATGAACCTGAGTTCTGGGATAATTGTTATTTTTTCCTTGTCAAATATGATGTTAAGAGAGCCCCTCCAATACAAAGCATTTGTCATCACGTCTACATGGGCGAGGGATTTTGGAAAGCAGGTGGTTACAGAAGAAATGTCTATGTTATTTGTTTCACCAAAGGGCTACCATTTGGTCTTATGTTTTTAATCAAAATCAAAAAGTGCTTTGAAATGTGATGTTTTTTAAACTGTTCTTTTTTTTTTTTTTTTTTTGCTTTCCTGTAATTGGAGCAACATACTAATTTCTACAAGTTGTGACTACTAACAGAGAGCAATCACCTCACAGACTTGTACCGGAGAGACGAGACCATCCAGGTGACAGGAAACGGCCACCTGCAGAGCCCCCGCTTCCCGAACAGCTACCCCAGGAACCTGCTTCTGACATGGCGGCTCCGCTCCCAGGACAAAACAAGGATACAGCTGGCCTTTGACAATCAGTTTGGATTAGAGGAAGCAGAAAACGATATCTGTAGGTAAGTGGCGAAAAATGTCCAGTTGATAGAACTCTTCCAATGTAGAAAAACAAAAACAAAAACAAACAAACATAAATTTAAAAGCATCATATCAAACTCCCCTTTGGGGCTCTTTGGACCTACTCAAGATGTACCACTTCTCTCCCAAAAAGCCTTATGTCAGTCTTAACAGGCAAAATCAACTGGGGAATGGACAGGGCTGTGGAGGGTCTAGTAACCTCACTTTCACACCCAGGGAAGGCAAGAGTCTGTAGGCCTTTGTCTTGGCCAGCCTACCATAGCCTCTGGTTATTGGATCATCCAATAAGCCTACATCACCTGCAGCCAAGGCTTGTGGCTCTGGCCCAAGTCAGCCTTGGGCTCAAGGAGTGTGTACCCTTAGTTCTTGGCTCCAGGAACTAATCAGACTATGTAACCTATGCACAGAGATGGTTCCCTCGCCCTGGGAGAAGGTGACAGTGAGGACCTACAGTGTCAGGCCCTTACCCTGAAATCATAGTTTTAAGGTCTCAGGTGTGTGTAAGAAGGAAGAGTTGACAATCTCAGGGACTGTGGGCCCCTCAGATGGTTTCTCTCCAGTAGTGTCTGAGTCAGCATTGGAAGATAAAGCCATGGCTGATAATCTCCCTTTTTGGGAATATTTATCAGACAAAGCCCAGGCGGTTGTTTTTTGAATTGTCTGCTCCACCGCATCTTATTCACTTAATTAGCATATATAAGACTCGGGGAGGCCTTTTCTCTGTTCTGTACTTAACTGCACACAGTTGTTCTGCATTGCCAATGAACTACTGAGCTGCTAAAACCTTCCAGCAGGCTTATTTTTCTTTGAATAATAAAAAAAGGGGGAGTCTCAAATTTGGCTGTCCTTTGTTGCATATTTATTATGCTGACAGTTTTTATTATGTTGCTATATTTTTTCAAGAATAATAGCAGTGGCTATGACTTTCTAGGACCATAGAGGGTACTGTATGTCCAAATACAGATTCAAATACATGCAAGAAGAGCCAGTCAGTATTTACAAAGAGAAGAAACTAGAGCAGATCTTGTTTCTTTTTAACTTTAAAAAAAAGAACTAATTTTCTGCACTGGAAAAAAAAAAGAGTTTATGAAACACACACACACACACACACACACACACACACACACACACCTCTATTGAAAAATTATTAAAGGTGATGACATGGAAGGAGAAAGCCAGTTTTCTACTGCTGATCAGGGATTTTGATTCTGGTAGTAAGTTAACTCTTTTGGCATTTTGGCCTTAAACACAGAAGAAGAGAAAGCTAGAATGGTTTGCATTTTGGTCCTCCATCAAATCTAGCTGCTCCTCAAAATTTATGGAAAAGTAGAGGAATAAGGGGTGGACAGGGGCAAGGAAGAAGGGAAAGACACAGTTCAGAGACTTGCCTCAGAAGGCTCCCTAAGAAACATAGTTGTGCTCTCTTGACATCAGACCTGGAGCAGATATTTATTACGCTGCTGATGTGTCCTAAAAACAAGAATGACCTATTGCAATTTTAACAAAGTTTCCAGTAAACTCCTGCTTTGAGCAGTAAATATGATTTACACATATTGTATATAAAATGAAATGCAATTGATTTTCTACCCTCTGGTCCAAAACCTCCTTGATGTTTACACTGTATTATGTTATTGCTTGAAATAATTCTTTGTTAGCTCTTTTCACCTTCCAAGCACCATATAAACTCTAAGTAACTAGTTTATACAGTGCCCAAGAGTTGACCAGCTGGGAAAATCATATAAGCCTTTTTATTCTGCTCATAAGATAATTGAGGCAAAGGACATAAGGCTTTCATATATCACTTCCAACAAAATTAAGTCAGCATGCTGTTATATTTGCCTCCTCCTTAGGTTATTCTGCCCAACCAATAAGAGCTCTGAGGTGCGTGAGTAGGACCATAAAGCCAAATTAGATTTTCTTTATATTTAGATGTGATATTTCTCATGCTGATTACTTTTGGCAATTGTTACAAAAAATCTACCTAATAGAAGAGTAACATGCTAATTGACTGTACTTTTGCAACACCCACCAGCCAATCAGGAGTGAGTATGCAAATTAGCCCAACAAAGATGGTGAGTTAATTTGTGTACACAGGTGCCAAGTGGCTAGGGACAGGGCAGGACATTTGTGTCATTGCCAAGGCGACAACACAGGCATTCCACATCACCCCAGCTGTTCAGGCCTCAAGGCAGTGTGGGAAGACAGAAAGGTGGCTCTGTGCTACAGCAGAAAGGCTGCTCAGGCCACAGCACAGGTGGTACTGGCAATCAGGGGAACAGAGGCCCATTCTTGCATGAATCTTCATTCATGCATTGGGCCACTAGTGTGTGTGTATGTGTGTGTGTGTGTGTGTGTGTGTGTGTATATATATTATATATATATATATATATATATATATATATATATATATATATATATATGATGTTTGACAGACTTATGCTGTCACTTATGTGGGTCTGCCCTGGTACAGTATGGAATGTGTAGGCTCTTGACTTCATGCAGGAAAGATTTGATGATATGAGTCCAGGTGATTTTTGAGAGTTAGTTTATTAAACTGGGGACAATGAAAGAAAAGAAGAGCTTAAGATAGCAGATCATAGTCATAGAAGTGAGCCGAAGTGGAGCTGCCTTGACCCTTTGGAAACGTGAGGAGGAGTTGAGCCATGTGGATGCTTTGGCCTTTTAGAAAGCAAGTCACTGAGGCAGAAGAAATTAGCCATCTGGGTTGTGTGGACTCAGGAAACAAGTTACATAGCCAAAAAGAAGGCTCTTGGAGACAGGTTCGGTGGTTAGTCTGGAACAACCTGCCACATTCTTGCTGCTCCTCTTGGTGCAAGTCTCCTGGGAACCTTTAGAGTTTAGAAAAAGAAAGTGCAGATAAGTGCCTGAGGAAAGAATGGGGGTGGAGGGCTAGAGTGTGCTCCTGAGAGAGTGCTCATTGTGTCCTTTGTCTTAAGGGTTTTTATTTGTTTCAAAAGGCAGGAATGTTAGGGGAGGTCTCAGGGGAGGATCTCAATAGAATATTCAGCTGCCTCCTATGTCTATACTTTAGTATGCTGATGCAACAAAATGAGCTCATTGAGGGATTAAGGTCACTCACTATCTAGTCAGTTTAATCTTCAAAGAATGTCACCCAAGGGGGACCAGGACTGAGGTGAGTCTGCCCTCCTCTTGGTCTGGAATGTGGAAACCATTTACTCTTAAGTGTTTTTGATTAGGGAAGATAATACTTTATGACTTATTATCTGGTTGTAAATTGCCCAGCCATTTAACTATTTGTCTCAGTTTCCCCATTCCATTTTCCCAGGAATTTTCCTAAGTCTTATTCACCAGCCTCAATGCCACTGTCCACTGTAAATGTAAATTGTTTGCATTGAGAAGTCATTTGGGAAGAGGTAGTGGGGAGAGGTGAGACTCTGATGCCCAGAACCCAAAGGCAAATAGTTCAGCTCATCAAGTCAATGTCCCAAGATATGAGTGTCTGAAAATAGTATAAATGGTCCTTAGAATGACAACACTGTCACTGAATATGTCCTATTGTGTGATGGAAAGATGGGATGGAATGGACGGATCTTGGGAATCAAATGGCTGTATGGAATGTCTAAAGCAGTTTAATTCTGGCATTCCATGTTTCTCTGACCAATACCAAAGAGGAACCTATGGTCTTCGGCTCATTCACATCCTGGTTTGACCTACCCAGATATTTACAGTACTAATTAGCACACATCCTTACCTAAGTCATATGCTTTCTATTTTGATGACAGTCATATTTAATTATATTGTCCTTTCAAAAGACAGTGTCCAAAAAGAAAAATTAGTGATTTCTATTGTGCAATGAAAATGCTGGTTCTGGATGCTGTACAGATACAGATTAGTTTCTTTTTAAAGAAAGTACTGGTGTGGTTAATTAATTCAAAGTGGGATTTGTCTGAAAAACTTTATATAGCAAATATTTGACCATATAGTTAGGGCAACATCTCAAATATGTTGATAGATTATAGTTATTAGTTTGTTTTTTCAGGCAAAACTTATAAGCCAGATGCTCAGAATGTGGCCCGTTTTGATTATTAATGATTTGAGAACAGTCATGCAGTCATGGCTAACTGTGTATAAAGGTTCTCTCAGAACAGATTGTGGAAGTTTGTATTTAGAAAATCTCATGCAAAAACTAGCTTTGATTTTAACATGTCTGTAGGTTTTCAATTTTTATTCTACCTAGTAGGTAATAAGAAATCACATATATTAGTTTTAACTTATAGGTGAAAGTATATTTCAAAGACTACTTTAATAAAAATTTGTTTCTTTTGTGAAATTGATACTAGATATGATTTTGTGGAAGTGGAAGATGTATCTGAAACCAGTACCATTATTAGAGGTCGATGGTGTGGACACAAGGAAGTTCCTCCAAGGATCACATCAAGAACAAACCAAATTAAAATAACATTTAAGTCTGATGACTACTTTGTGGCTAAACCTGGATTCAAGATTTATTATTCTTTTGTGGTAAGTAGCTTAGCCATGCTGTGATTAATAGAAGACACTTGTTTCATGAAGTATAGAGATCATTTTCTATGATTATACACAGTGCTGTGAGGGTGAAAGAATTTTATTAATTCCCTTTGGTATACTTTGCTCCTACAAATGGCCAAAATGATAAAGCCGTTTTTAGTAAAGAATACCGTTTTGGATCTATGAAGTCAACTCTTGGGCCCATTTTGAAACACACACACACACACACACACACACACACACACACACACACAAAATGATAACATAGTGAATAGAAAAAATAAAGTAGTTTATAGTAAAGCAGTTACTATATTACCTTTGATTCAATTGAAGCAAAATAAATGTATAGTCAGATCAAAGGTGAGAGTTGAAGCCACTTAAATTTGAAAGTTGTCTCTATATTTCTAATCACATAAAAGAGTCCTAATGATTTTAGTGTAAATTATCACTCAGATTTGGGAAGTGTCTGTGTTATCATCATAAAGCCTCAGAGACAGCAGCATCTTGAAGATCATAAGGTGTATTCAGGACCCAAGAGTTGGATTCTTGTCTACTACACCCATGCTTGTTTGTGGTATCTCCTCTACTAAAATGCATCAGTAGTTATCTCCAGCTTTAAGTGGTTATGATTGTTAGAAAATGTTTAATGTTTTATCAAACCAAAATTGACATTGTACTTAATGCTACTTGTTGGGTCACATACAATCACAGCCACTTCTTCAGTTAACTAGTGATTCATAAAACAATATAAAAATCCCTGCTTGTTGTTAGTCAGTTTCATAGGTATAGTAGATATAAAGGTACCCAGGGCAGACAGGTTCTTGACCTTTTCCTGGAGGTTATAGTTTGATAAATGTAACAAATAAAAAGGGGTAACCTGTCCAGTATGGCTCAGTTGGTTGGAGTGTCATCCCATACATGGAAGGGTTGCAGGTTTGATCCCCAGCAGGCGCATGTGTTTTTCTCTCACATCAATGTTTCTCTCTATCTCCCTTCCTCTCCCTCTAAAATCAATAAGCATATTCTTGGGTGAAGAGTTTTTAAAATAGGTAACAACTGAGAATGATGAGTATTAAGACAGAAGTACTGGGTGTGTTAGGTCAAACCCAGGAGAGCGCAGAATAGCAGAATAATTATATATATATATATATGTATGTATATATCGATATATATACAGCATTTTCATTGCACAATAGAAATCACTATAATATATATATTAAATATTCCTGAGTCTTTTAACTGTGTATAGTATATTGTCTTTTGTTCTCTCAACAATATTTTCTCACTCTCATTCAGTTTATTTCCATCCCCTTTCAAAATGCAGGTGACAGCATAGACCACAGTACTATATATTAAATGAATTTGTGGGGTTTTTCCTCTAATGAGATAAATTTAGAACAGAAACAAATCTTGTTTTTTGTAAACTAAAGCTTTTCTTGTCTTGCGTTATTGGGAATCATTGAATACTAAATGATTCTACATCAGAACCTTGTAAATGGAGGAAATAGCATGTGGTAACAGTGTTCCAGTTCTAATGTGAAAATAATCCATCAAGCATGATTTACATTACTGCAAACTCATGCAGTGCTGCCCAGCATTAACACTGAAGGGTGAGCCTTTGGTCTCTACATTTCTTTACTTTTTAATGTGTTCAATGACGCGTGTGTTCTCAATTGTTCATGGAAAAAAAAACAGGCTTGGCATGTGATGGACAGGCTTAATGAAGGACCTCCACACCCCTCCCTTTTCTTCAAGCACTATCAGTGTGAGCTTGTATGCTTTTTTATGAAGCTTTGGTTGTGACTAAGTTGAATTGTCCATAAATCACTTTGAAACACTCCAACACTAATACAACGTCTTTAAGGCAAAGTAATATATTTTTATAGAAAAGGCAGTGCAAGTATGACTTTAGGGAAGGAAGCGTACTCCTGTATGGGGAGGTTTGTAGTATGGTGGAGGCTCATCACTCATCTCCTAGCAGGTGTAAAGTGGAATTTTGTGCAGTCTCTGTGATTTGAATGCAAACTATTTGGCATCACTCCACTCACTCATTCACCTCCCCAGAAGCGACCTTCAATTATTTTTTTTTAGAAATGCTGATAGTATAACATTTTTGTGCATTTCTCTACTGGCCACTTGATCTGCATTGATTGAGAATAATCTCAGGCTCTCTTTCCACTCCTGGTAGGCTTCTGGCACAAAATATGATCAGTTAGGGTCCACACACTTTGGTGGCTGAATTCCAAGAGGTAGAATGAGCTTAACCTTCAGGTGTATATAGACTCCACATCTTTTTTTTTTATTTAATTTTTATTAAACTCTCCCATTTGAGTCTTGCTCTGTAGGGACAGAAGGTCAATTTCAACTTGGCCAATATATTGAGAAGATCATTTTATTCATGTTTAAATTTTACTTGGAGAGACAATAAAGCAGAGTTTATTAACCCAAATGTATAGAGTCTGGGCTTAAAATTCAAAATGGGCCAAGTGTAAATTGATAGGTAGAGAGTGAGATTGGAAATGGCAGGTCTTCTTTAAGTCTGTAAATAATGAGTTGTAACATGTATTGAAGGCCCATAAAACCTATAGGGGTTAGAGGCAGCTGCTATGCAATTGCAGGCTTAAGGAGTGCCATGCCTTACCATCTCACACCTGTCACAATGGCTATCATCAACAAATCAACAAATGACAAGTGCTGGAGAGGATGGGGAGAAAAAGGAACCCTTGTGCACAGCTGGTGGGAATGCAGACTGGTGCAGCCACTGTGGAGAACAGTATGGGGTTTCCACAAAAAACTAAAAATGGAACCTCCACTTGACACAGTGATCCCACTTATAGGAATATATCCCAAGAAACTAGAAACACCAATCAGAAAGGACATATGCACCCTTATGTTCATAGCGGCACAATTCACCATAGCTAAGATTTGGAAACAGCCTAAGTGCCCATCAGCAGATGAATGGATTAAAAAGCCGTGATACAATACTACACTGCTGTAAAAGAGAAGGAATTCTTACCATTTGCAACAGCATGGATGCTACTGGAGAGCATTATCTTAAGTGAAATAAGCCAGTCAGAGAAAGATAAATATCACATGATCTCACTCATTTATGGGATATAATGAACAACATAAACTGATGAACAAAAACAGATCCAGACACAGAGAAACATCAAACAGAACATTAAACCTCACGGAAGGCAGGGGACAGTGGGGGTAAGAGGAAAGATCAACCAAAGGACTTATATGCATGAATATAAGCCTAATCAATGGACACAGACAACAGGGAGTTAAGGGCATGAATGGGGGTAATGGGGAAATAAGGACACATATGTAATACCTTAATCAATAAAGAAATTTAAAAAATAAAAATAAAAACATATCTACATAAATAAATAAAGGAGTGGTAGGTGCTAGGGAAATTGAACCTTAGAATAGTTTTTGAGAAGTCAAATGCTCTTGAAAAATGGCAGGTGGCTATTTGGATCAGTCAAGATCAGCTCCATTGGAAGCTCTTGCCTCTCCCTTGCCTCAGTGACTCTCCATGCACAAGGACTTCTGACACTGCAGGTTATAGTTGTCCAGGGACACAAGAACCTCTTACACAAAAGTCAGATCTACATGGTCCATGTTTATAATGGTTTTTTGAATACCAAGTTCAATTTTTCATCAAGTTTTCAGTCTAGCAAAATGTGGAAGACATAGGTAATATCAATATCATTTACTTTTGGTTGAGAATGATTCTTATATTACAACTAGAGGCCTGATGCACAGATTCATGCACTGGTGGGGTCCCTCAGCCTGGCCTGCCCTCTCTCACCCTCTGAGACCCCTCGGGGGATGTTGGACTGCTGGTTTCAGCCCACCTGCAGGGATCAGGCCAAAACTGGCAGTCTGACATCCCCTGAGGGATGTAGTAGTGTGCAAAGTGGCAGACGGCCTAGGAGGAGCCCAAGACCGGGCTGGGCTTCGCACTGCTCCTGCTCATCCCAGCCCCACTGCGCCTGTAGCTGCAGCCCGGCTGCAGAGGTGGGAGAGGTTCCCACCACTGGAGCTGAGTTCACCGGCTGTGAACCTGGCTTCTGGCTTAGTGGCCCTCCTGCTGTCGGAGGGCACTGACCACCAGGGGGCATCTACTGCATTGAGTTCTGCCCCTAGGTGGTCAGTGTTTGTCATAGTGACTGGTCAACCAGTTGCTTAGGCTTTTATATATATATATATATATATATATATATATATATATATATATATATATGTAGATTTTTGTTTCATGTGCTTAGAATTCAGTTTCTACGTTTTTTACAGCACCTATCACAGTCTCTCCTGGGGCAAGACAGGTACCACAGCGACATAGGACCAGGCAATGCTGTAAAGATCATTTTGGATTGAATAGGGTTTCCCTTGGCACTAATAGTATGATATTAAACAACTCTCTTACCCTTTGCTTTTATATCTGTAAAATGGGGATAATAATTAGAGTTACAGTGAGATTTTAAAATGATCACACACTTTTAGCACAGCACCTAGGATATAATAAATTTTATCAATAAAAAATACTGATAAAGACCTTACCTTTACCATCACAAATGGTGTATATACCAATTTCCTTCCAGGTAATTGGTAATGAATTATTTGAGGGTAGGGCAAGTATCTTATTCCTGTGGGTATTTTACAGATGCCTTGTTTATCTATAGCTAGATAATGCATTTGTTGCATTGACTCTTTTCCAAGAATATATAACTTATAATAAGGATTGCCTAATTTCATTTTACTGCTCACCTGTTCAGCCTTCTTTTGTGATTTTTGCTCCATTGAAGAGAACAGACATTTTCAGAGGCCATAATTAAGCTAATATTATCAAACACTTGATAGCAAAATGTGATTGTCTAAGTAAATTCGGCTCTCCTACCTCAAATCTGTTTTATTGGGGTTATGAATGAATTGATATTTTTTGAAGGCCATTAAGTAGATTATTGGAAAGGTGTCCATTACAAGAC